TCTTATGTTTTTTATGGTATTGTTGACGTGCTACTGTAAGGTGACCTTGAGGGTCTGAAAGGCGCCTATAAATAAAATGTATTATTATTATTATTACTACTTTGTACAAAAACTGTTTCATTATATTTCATATATAATTGTAATATGCAATTGTAATAATAATATAGCTTCATAATGATTACAGGACATCAGACTACTTGTTCTTATTGCTTAATAATGCAGAATTATCATATAGAAATAAAAAAAACTTGAAGTTGTGCCTATTTGAACACGTTGCCTGCCTGCAGCTCTAAAGGACTCCGTGAGAGACGTCTGTCTCGCCCTAGCAGCACCTGTCCCTCTCCTTCTCTTCAGTTCGCCTCAACATACGCTCGTCATATTCTGTGATATCTGAGGTGTTTGACAAGGTTAGTAGTGTTGCCACAACACCTCACTGTCTTGCCACATGTATCGCAAAGTGCGTATTGGCTGTTTGTGGAGGTAAAATACGTCCATGCATGACTCCGTTTACGCTCAGCCATTGTTGTGAGTGTGCACGCCAAGGGGCTGCGACACATTTATACGGCCGTATTTCGCATATGACTATGAAAGGCATAAGAGGAAGTAGTTCCTTCCAATTTAGATGATCCAAATGATATAGTTTCTTTCCGTTGTGTTCCAGTTAATGATAAACTACAAATTTACCCCAAAGTACTAAAATATTAATTTTTAATATGAGAATCGATTCTAGAACATAAATTACTGGTATCGGAAGAATCAATATTTCAATATCGATCCGCACACCACTAGTAATATTTTCTTGTCACACTCCGTAGTACCAGCTAAATATTATTTAACTGCCACAACCTACGTAAATGTTTCTTATTGACAGTTTCCTTTATGACCACTGTTTACCTGATTACTGCTTCCAGCAAGATAATGCACCATGTCACAGATCTCAAATCAACTTAAACTGGCTTCTTGAACAACGTAATGAGTTCACGGCCTCTATACTCAACAGATCTCAATCCAATAGACCACCTTTGGGATGTGGTAGAAGATTTGTTGGCTGCACACAAATCTGCAGCTGAGGAATGTTTCCACAACACTGTTGAATTGATGCCATGAAGAATTAAGGCTGTTCTGAAGGCAAAAAGGGGGTCTAACACAGTACTAACAAGGTGTACCTAATATATCCAGTGCATAACTGACCTTTCTGATATTGTATTAACTGGACTGCACTTTGAAATAGAGTTTTCCTTCAAGCAGTCATTGGAACAAGCCAAGTTGTGCATAGTTATTGTATGTGCATGTCATACAACACAGCAGTTCAATCCAGTAACAAAGCAACGGAAAACTAAATCTGTGTGAACTGTCAGATTTAAAAGTCAGTATGTTGAAGCAGAATCATTTAAAAGTATCCTTAACTGATCTAATCTAAATAGAAAAAATAATTTAGTACCGCCATTTTCCTGTACTTTGGTTTTAATATATTCCATTCTTCCCATCAGATCTATCTGGGCTGTGATGTTTTTCATACAAGATGAATGAGATTAGCTCCACTTTATTTTTCTTCTAAGCTCAATATCTGTCCTACCTCTCAGTTTAAACTAAGGCACAATGGAAGATTGAATAATACCAGGCTATAGAGACGAATAAAAATGTTGTGAATACTATAAATGAATATATGTTAAAAAAAAAAAAAAAAAAGTACTGTCAATGTAAATAAAAAACAGAGTCCAGAACATTAGGACAGGTCATATTTTAAACAAAGCCACACACTTTTTAAATAGTCTGGTACTTTGTGTGAGCACTGTAAGAACCTCATAATTAAACACTTAGCACATGTTGTATATTTAGCCTGTATTGCCAGTAATGCCTTTGTAGAGTAAGCCACCTTGCCATTCTTGGCCACAGCATCTACCTCCACCTCCCTGGCACCACGTATGAATTTGGTGATGACAACTGGATGCTCCTGAAAGAGAGTCACAAGCAAGGTTACACATTTGTGAGGAAAAAACAAAACTCAGTTGTGTATATTCATATTAAGAAGATATGAATCTTATGAAGAGAACTTTTTAGAGTTTTAGAGTAGTTTCTGGCCTAGTGCCAACATCAACGTAATTTTAGTTTTTGGATCCTACCCAGTTCTGAGGAAAGTCTCTCTTCTCCTAAATGCTTTACCATTTTTTGCCATCACTTGAGAAAGCAGTGCACAGTGGGTTATGGCAATTACTTTTGGTAACAGCTAGCCGTGTGCCATTACATTACACCACATTGTACCCCGAAGAGGTGATGGTGAGTCACTGCAACTGCCTCATTCAAACATAAGAAAAAGAGGTGACACTGCCCAGTTGTTGCATTTTTCTTTTATACACCGTAATTTTAACTTCTTGTCAGTCACGTTGAAGAACAGGCAGTCAATGAACAGCACAACAATAATGTTGCTGGAGAGATTTGGCTGACTAGGGTTTGTTTTTAGCCAGGCATGGATCTGCACCTTCTTGCCATGCTTCAGGTCCCTAACACATTGCATACAGCGTCCACTTCCCTGGCCACCATCAGCATCAGGCGACACAGCAGACTGAACACCTGATCCCCGTAGCTTAACCACATACAAGTTCATCCATGTATGCAGATAAGATATTTCTATTTTTGCACACATTTTTCCTTATTTTGCTTTTAACTACAAGAGGCTGTGATTATTACCTTGTTCCAAGTCTATTAAAATGCCATTAAAAGGTTTGCTTTGGTGCTCTGAAGGTGTAAAATGTGCATGTGTGTACGCATATAGCCCTAAGCAAAGGCCCTTGGAGGGGCCAACTGCCTCCAAGCTGCCTAGGTGTTCAGTGGAGTAGAGATGGGCACATAATACTAGTCAACAGCCGTTGCCAGCTGGTAGCATTAGTTAATTGAAAGCAAAGGGACAACTTTGTGCAAAATTAATGTGATTGTATGTGCTAGACAGAGGGACCAGTAGAAAAAAAAAAATAAGGGTGAGACATTAGAGAGTTTTATCGCAATATGTCTCTTTTGCAGGTGCAGGTAAGTACACACAGTTAAGAGTGAGCTCACCTGGGACACGTGTGCAGCCTCTTCCAAGAAGCGTTTCATCTCCTCTTCACCGTACACAACGTTCATAGCAGAGCCACTGGCACGATGCAGGCGAGGGAGAGAGAGTGAGGAAGGGAAATCAAAAGGGCACAGGAGAGGATGAGAAACAAGCAAAAGAGGAGAACATACAAGCTTCAAATGATTGTTCAAAAACACTCATTATCTCTCCATTGCATCACTATTACCATCAGGAACAAGGTCTGGAAACAGTTGAAATAAGGAGCGAGGGAGACTGGGAGAAGAACAGCTATTTAGGTCGAAAAGCACTCCAGGCTCTAGAAAATGAGTTCAGATCTTCATCATTAAAAAACAATGGATTTAGGCTAGTTTTGTTGTGGTTGTTGTTTTTGATTTTAGACTGCTAGCTGGGCTATCCTCCTGATAGAAAAAGCGTGGTTGAGTGAAACAGGACGAAGGAAGGCCTCATGCTTGGGTCAGAGCTTTATACCTTAGCTCTCTGTAGCTTAGAGGCAGATATACTGTATGTCTAAACCCCAACACAAAACTGACCCTTCATTCAGGAAACCAGTGATATATTTATATCGCTTTTAAATGAAGGCATATAACTGACTCAGATGCCGTCTAGTTTTTGCCTCACTATTCTCAGAACATTCAAATGTATCCAGCCATTAAGATTAAAGCTGTTCAGCATGCTGCGTAAGTGCTGCAGAGTAAAAACTCGATGGCTTATGTGCCCAGTGTTGGCCAAAATCAAAGGTCAGCATTCTATTAAAACCCCCTAAAATGTCTATGCTTTAATGTCTTTCCATCCATTAGCCCAGCATATAATGTGTCCAGTATTAGCAGGATTAGTAAAGGGTTGTGATTACAATGAGTTTTAGTTCTAAAGAGGTTCACATATTTGCTGGATAATGTAATGGTAATCATCATACTTTGAAAATTCAAGACTTTTTAAGGAGTAAGTAAAAATGCGGTCTTAATCTTAACCAACTTTCAGTAAAAGGCCACATGCCTGATGTAAAATGATCCTAATGTCTGACAGACAATAAGTTAGGGTTGGCCAGTTGGAAAATACCAAAAACTCAATCCACCAAACAGACATTTCAGTTATTTCTTTAAGGACTGTTTTAGTATTTCTGAGAAAATATTAATTGGGTGCTCAGTTGTAAACCCTCGTTTGGTTACTTTCACATTCTGATGGGATTTCAACTTCCAAGACTTCCAGCCGGCTCCGAGTCAGAGACATTTCACCATATCAGACACTTATTAAAAGAACTGGAGAGCAATAAACTCACTTGATGCTTTTTTGTCCCCTCTCCCCCACTAATAAAAGCAACTATGGTAACTCACCCACACAGATGATATTTCACACGCGTAGCAAATCTTCAGGACTTTGCATTTGCACTTTGTATTTTCAAGAAAAGCTTTTGCAGCATTTGTTAAAAGCAAAGAATGAGACGATGTCTCAATCTTCCTGCTCTGGACTCACATCTCAGATGCATGTTTAAAAGACGCGACCTTCATAAAATGGTAAAACTACAGAGTAGTTTAAAGTCTGCTTTGCTTGTCACAGCAGTAACAATACTAAGCAAATGTTTACACAACTAAATGGAAAGATTAAGTTAAATATGCAAATAGTATCACTTTTGTTGTTTGTGTGCACATTTTACTTCTACAGAAAACTGAAGTATGATTCCAACAAGGATGAGAGTGTTTAGTGTGTAAATCTGAGTATCTCTGCATATGTAATGAGGCTGAGCAGAACACTCAAAATATATTAGCAAGCATGACAGAGGGAAAAAAGTGAAAAAAGCTGTAGGGATGCTAAAGATCAGGATGAGTTCATCGAACACTGATGCTACGGAGAAGAGAGGAGCTTCCACTCCACTGGTATTCAACAGAAGTCACTGTAAGTGGATTATTATTCATTTCATTCGATCATAAACGGTATGATTATAGTTCCTTCAACATCAAACAGAAGCACACTTTAATACTGGTACATATCACTTGACTGAATTACATTAATATTGCCTCGTGCACAAAACTCATGGGTTTCCCACAGTCCCCTGCAGTGAACAGACAAATCCTGTTTAAAACAACATCACAGCTTGAATGTAGAAACATACGTTTTGGGTGACAGCAGACTGCCTGCTGAATCCAGGGTGCCATCATGACACCTTCTGGACAAAAGTGTCACTGCATGACTGCAGCAGCGTTTGAGTGAATGAAGTTCATTAATCATCATAACTTAAAATGTGTTTTATTCATCTAGTAATTACGCTGTGAATTAGCTGTTAAGAAATTCCAATGATTTCCCTCTCAAGTCTCAGTAAAACCAAGGGTGCACTTAGTGTGTATTTATTTAGGACAAAAACGTGGCACAAGATAAATTCTGATTAGATTTTATACTTGCAGGCTACTACAGTCTATATTTTTTGGAAAAAGATGAAGCAAATTATCTAAAAATATCTATATATTTTGAAGTATTAATGATTAATATGCAACATTTACAGTTAAGAGACTGCTGATGGAATAAGAGAATTTGAACTACCGCAACCTTTGTGATGGGAAACGAGATTAGTCTGGTTGTTATGATATATTAAAACCTACCTCAGAACATAGGAGGGCCTCAGCAGACAGGGATACCCCACCTGGTTAGCGAAGGCAAACGCGTCTTCCTGTGAGGAGACAGAAGTGCACAGCAGACGTATTATAGTTGGGCCAGAAATCAAAGGGAATAAGCTGCCACAACTCGGAGCTCCACATATAAATGTGCATCTTGAAGCTCCAGTGACACTGCACTAAAATTTTAGAAAAACACATCTGTCAACTGAAGTGGGATTTTTTTCTTCCCCATTTCTGCAATTTTACATTTTGTAGTAAACAACTTTAATTGAAACATAAAGGTTTTAAAATCCAGTTGATATTAGGGGGAGGGTTGGGGTTGCTAATATAAAATTGGACAGGTGCTTACAAATGAAAACATTCATCAACATCCAGTGCAATTTTGCTTTTTATAGAATAAAAGTTCTGCATATTAGCTGTTTAGCACATCTGTGTAAATTACAAATACATCAGTTTTGGAGGACAAAGTGAAAAAATATTTTATGCCTTTGACATACTAAAATGTGTTAAAAACTCTAAATGAGGGAGAATATTTAGTCCAGACATGACAGTTTAACCAGAGTATCAAAGTACATTTAATAATACCTAGATTCAGCTGACTTGTGTAACTACTATGCTGTTGTGGTTGTTGTTGTAATAAGAAAGCTTACTGATTACAGACACCTCAGATAAAAGACTAAATATATCAAAAGAAGGAATGCTTGTGCTCATCCTCTTAAATCTTTTATACAGCAAGCCCCTGTTTTACCTTTTCTCAGTTCAAAAACACACATTATACTAGTGTCTCATGAACAAAGGGTGTACTCCCATATCTGCAAAGAACAGAACAAATCAAGCAAATACAAGGGGGAAGATAAGTGCTTCAAGAGTGAAAAAGCATGGGGCTTACATTCATCTCCCTTTTGAACCCTCCCTCTGTCATGAAAAGAGTGAACGAAGAAATTGTAGGAGTTGTGGACAGAGTCTAGAAGCAAAAGCAAGGCTGAATGTCCTCCTCCTCCTCATCATCATCATTATCATCATCGTTCTCTCTCTATTCTGTTTCACCGCATGTCTGGTCTTTTTCTCTCTATCATTACCCACTGTTCACTCACCAGGTGAAGTACCATTTACCAAACAGAAAATAGCTTCCCAGAGATGCAAGAACCATCTCCCTGAGGCTCTCCTGGAGTTATTCCAGCCAATTAAAAACAAAACAGTTCTCAAAGACTGGCATGAATATAGAATATACGCAAACCTTGGAGAGAAGGAACTCTATCTGTGTGTGTGAACTAGATAATCACTCCTCAGTGGTAACTGAATACAAGAGCAAAGGTAATGGAAGAGACATTTTAGCACCGACTGCAGACATATTTCCACAGTGCTCCGCATGTTCCACAGAGCAGTCTGCCAGTGTTTCATTCAGATGGAGCCAGGAGTGAGTATAGCCAGCCAATTACAAGAAAAAGACTAAAAAAGGACATGCACGTAGTAGTGAATAGTACCTTTGTAAGGAATATATTTTAGAAATAATAAGCGTGTAGAAAATTCTTTCTAAATATGAAAAATAATGCTAATTGATAAATCAGAAAAAAGGTATTTCCATGGTCAAATATGTGCATCAGTAAACTCTGTGTGGGGTTTGATGATCTTAATATTTTTCATAGTTTCGAAATTTCTCATCCAAACACTATGATTGATATTCATAGAAGGAGTTCCCTGTAAACCATCAAGATCATCTTATAGAAACGAAGCAAAACTCTAAAAGAAAATATACAGCTGCCATAGCTGAGCAGACATCACTTGGCTGAACCTTGTCAAAGTAACATTTCCAATCACTTTATGTTCTCTGCCTCAGCTGACAAGCAAAACCTTGTTACAGTTTCTCCAGGAACTGTTTTACACCATGTTTTGACTCTGAAAACTTTTTAAATGGCTGCAATATTAACACACTTTTCATAGCAGAGCTATAATAAATCTAACAATGTATACAAGTAAATATCTTTACATGCTTTGACTCAAAATATTGCCTTAAAATCTTTGCCTCAAAATCGTTAACTGCAGCGACAAGTCGCAAATGTCACTCTTGCATTTTGTGATGGCGTATATAAGAGAAAGCATGTACTGCACAAACTGAAGGAAAAGAAAAAGAAGAAGTTAAGAATGCTAATTAGTATTTGAAGTGCCATTATGTGTTAGGGCAAGTCTCATATATAAGCACCAACTCAAAATTAAAACCTCTTTCAATACATTTTGATTTTTTTTTTTTCCCTTATCAGAAATAATTAATGGTATAACACTGATCCTTGGGCCACAGGTAAAGAGTTTGCTGAGATAAATCTGCATCCCAGCATTGTACTACTATATAACTTTGTCACATCAATAATTCAGAATTTGTGAGTTTCCTCTCACCAGGGAGCTCAGGGCCCTCCATGGGGCTTGGGCAACCTCGAGGTCATCCAGGATACTGGAGAAGACTGAGCGCTCTTCAGCTCGGTCGATCTGCAGGGGGCTCGTCCCGAGAATCTTCACCCCACTCATGTGCAAGGGGACGGCTAGGTTGTTAGGAATCTGACCTCCCACTGATACAATGCAGCCAGAGCAACCCTGGAGAGGAGTAAATAGAACAAGAAGAATGCAAAAGAGAGCAGACACTAAATCAACTAGAATACTAAAACAAGAAGAGGAAGAGGGGAGAAAAGACAGGAGGAGGGAAACCCTGCCTATAAGCCAAGATCTACATTCTGAAACCACTTTCAATTATTCTGACCTCTGATCACAGTGAAAATATGAGACAAGCACAAAGAGTTGATCTTGGTCGCGCCATGGGTTTAGTTATCACCGGGGAAGATGTATGTGTGAGAGTGTGTGTGTGTGTGCGTACGAGCTCCTTTTAATAACAGCGTGCAGCCCCTTTTCCTTTCTAGCTGATCCAAGGGGGATGCTGTTTCCATGGCAATGCCAGGTTGTATCTCTTCATTATTCATGGCCTTGCTCTCCTGCTCCTGTCCAGGGTTTATCTCCATGCTCTAATGCCATATTTATCACACACACATATACAAACTGTAGCTGTGAGAGAGGGATTGATGGTAATGCTATCTCCCTGAACAAACAAACACTTAATCACACTCTGATCCCATCGCAACTTTAACTGGATTACATTTCCCCTGCAAGGGAAAGTCAGCGGACAGAAGTATACAAACACAGAACACAACATAAATACACAGGCGCCAACAAACCTATACACGGAAAATAGCAGGGAGACGTTGCCCTTGAATATTCTTTGACAACGTCCGAGTCACCTTACGCCACACACACACACACACACACACAATTGCAAAATAAAGCAAAAATAATGCATCATTATATGCATGATACTAATCAAGCCTAGTTATATATGTGAAATCACATTTCAGTTCTTCCAGCAACCTTAAAATGGACCCATTATGAGTTAATAATTATTACACACAGCCAAATGAAGAGGTCGGTCTGTGAGTCAAAAGTTTTCAAGCAGTTTTTCCCTTTCCTACTTTTGAGTCTTTATGACATCAAAGAGTCGGGACATCCTTAATAAAGGCATCTCAGGCACATCGCTCTGGCGGAGGGCGCATCGCTCTTGCTAGGGACACAGTAACCCTGTCCACCTGTTGTTCAAGTTGTTTGTTTGCAAAAGGGCAATGAACCAGAAGAACGTTGGCTTAAATGGGAGCCAAAATGGCTCATTTCAGACCGGATGAGCTGAGGAGCTGTATAAGGCTCAGAGTAAGATATATAAAGTTAAGAATCGTGCAAAGTACTTTTACTCCAAGTACAAAAATATGGAGATGGAAGTGAGCTACATTTAGAATGCTAACTGTCAAATAATTTATTTATAAAAGTCCACAATACACTGTTCCTTTGTTTTTGTTCATAAAATCATCAATCCAACAACCATTTACCACTTCTCCATGTCCAGGTTGCAGGGGTAAGAGTCTACGCAGAGCCCCCAAAAAATCTCCCCCTGCCTAGCCACTGCTTCTATCTCATTTTGGGAGTTGCCAAGGCCAAGTTAGTCCGTAGTGTCCTCAGACTGCCCTAGGGTTTATTGATGGTAAGGCATGCTTGAAACACATCACCTACATGGGCTCCGATAAGATTTCCTAGTCGTGATTCTCAATCCACCTCAGCTCTTCCTCGTAATGTGGAGCAGCAGCATCTCTGATCAGGTTCCTAAAAGACCTAGCATCACACCCTAACTCGAGCTCTACCACTTGTATGACCCATCTTATTTTTTTTTCCAGTTACTGCCCACATCTTCTAGTCATGAGTAAGAGTAGGATCATAGATCAACCTATAAATCCAGAAATAACCATAAAAAAAACCCATCTTCATTATGCAATGTTGCATTACGTAAACCAAAAGCAGAAACAGATATTTTAGAAATATAAAAACATACTAGAAATGCTTAAAAAAAAATATTAGAAATATATATATAAAAAAACAACCCACGCAAAACTACAAAAGCAAAATGTCCATTCACTGCCAATTCAATTTTTCCCCCCATTTAAAAGAGTTATGTTAAGCTGGTTTTTGAGGCAAAAATTGGTGTGACACATAAAGAGTGACAAAGCTGCTTGCTTAACTGTTTTCTGAATTCATATATAAGAATACGAGAAAATTCGGACAGTGGTGGTTATGTTTCATCCATGCCACTCTGAGCAGAGAAGGTATTTTTCCCCCAACACTGCGGCGATCTACTCTGTGGGTAGTCCATGGTAATAAGTCACGGTCACGCTGCTAATGTTTGATTTCTATATATTTTTCAATAAAGAATTATTCTTCAGCAGTGCAGAGAAGTTATTATGCCATTATATGAGTGCTTGTGTGCTGGTCTCGGATTATAAATCTACTTGCCAGTATTATCGGGCAAACATTTAAGTCCACGAGTGCACTCTGCCTTTGATATAGCTGTCAAGATTGATTTCTTTAATAAATATGCATCATGTACTTAATCAATATAACTCTGTTTATGGGAAATTTAAATTGGTGGCAATGCAATATTTAAATCAGATTCCACAGTTTACATATGAATATAATCGTTTTCATTGACAAAACCCTTTAACATATTGGTGACCTACCCAGGGTCTACTGCCTCAACACTCTGAGCTGTGATAGGCTTAGAGTTTTAGATCAAAGCAGGGCAGTACATTTATCTTTGGTATTTTCAGTAATTCAACATTTAAAGTTGTACTATGTTTGTTTGGTTTGGACAGTGTCTTAATTGTATTGCATTAAAATATTTGTTCGTTTACAAAAAGTAGAGAAATATATGTATTTTGTTTGAATTTCCACAAATGAAAAAAGTCACGTGTTCGGTAGCATTTTAACCTCCTGCTGGGTGATATCCAGAATGCGTTCCAGGGTCAGTTCTTCAAAGTAAAGGCGATCACACTCATCGAAGTCTGTGCTGACCGTCTCTGGGTTGTGGTTTACTACAACCGTCTTCTTGCCCATTTGTCTCAAGGCTCTGATGCTGGACACCGCACACCAGTCAAACTCAACACTGCTGCCTGGTGGTCAAATGGTTGATAAATAGGTTGGCCATCAAAGGAAGATCACAATTTCAAAAATAATTTCATCCTACAAAGTTTTAACTTGAAACAAAATGCAGCAAGTTTCAGTTATATCCCTTCTGGGTAAAAAACACTAGACACAAGAGAAATAATGAAAAATGTACATCTTAGAAGTAATAGTGCTATTTTTATCATCACATATTGCAATAAATAAATAAACAAACAAACTGTTTATTATTACACTCACCTATGTGGTAGGGTCCACAACCAAGAACCATAATTCCCTGGTCTTTAAAGTCCAGATCGTGCTCCTAGTGAAGTAGACAAATCAACCATAGACTCTTGCATACATAAACCATGTTTTAGCCATATTTTGCTGCCAAATTTTCTTTCATTGTCTTCTCAAAACAAATAAGAAAGTTGGCCAGTGTATTAATATGAGCATTTACTAGTAAACATACTAGTGTTTGCTCATGCTACAGTATTGTTTGGACTGTGATTTTATTATATAGTGATATAATTATATATTTTTGTGGATTTAAAATTAAAATGATGTGCTTTTACAAAGTGTTCAAGGTGGATAAATGCTACAAATGGGTAATTTTAGCCCATTTGTAGATGCCTACCAGGCCACATGATGACATCATAATATCAGATTTAGATAAGAACCTTCACGGGCCTAAGATGTTCCTGTGTGTTCATTTTGTCTATTCAACTCCTGACAGTGAAAAAGTCTGTAGGCAAACAAACAAACTGTGTGCATCACATAGTAAGAGATACAGTAATTCAATTTTATACATTCAATAATTGTATATTTACAAATGACTTTGTTTTTCCGAGACCACATACCTGACCGTGGTAAGTACAATACAGGTAGTTGGTCATTGCTGGGTACTCTGCAGCCAAAGTGTCAATCTGAGATGAGAGAAAACAAAATGTTAAAAATGGGGCATTAAAAAAAAATAATAATAAAATAAAATAAAATATTACTCTCAACTACTACTCTATAATGTAATCATAATGGCCAAAATGGGAGTAAACCAGTTTAAGCATTTGAAGAGCATGCAGACTCTCCGAAGAAATTAGGCAACTGCTCATTTTTACGAGGTGTACTCATTATACCGCATAATGAGTACATTCACTTTGCAGAAGATTATCATGTGTAAGACAGAACATGTACTAGCTGTATTATTAATCAAATGATGTATTAAATAAAAATACATTTGGACTACTAAAAAGCCTCTGAAGCTGATATAGCTTCATCCCTTTACGCTTATGAACTCTACTGTTGTCCCGGCCCTGTAAAAAACTGATTTCATGCCACGCTGGTGAATTGGATTTGCAGATGTTAATAATTTAGTCACCTGGTTCAAGAAATACAATTTGGACAAAGGACATGTCAATGCAGACTGAGATGCAAAGACAAATTTATTGACTCTCTCGCTATATGCATTTTTTATCCTTCCCTTTTAAATATATTTGTAGCCAGAGGATACTTTTCTGTTGAGTTGTGTGTGTATATCGATTAGCCAGAGTCAGTTATCTGAGCCCATCTGGTCTCTACTAAAAGGATCAGCCCAGTAATGCTCACCTGTTTGACCCAAGGTCTGATGCCATAATTGAGCCTCAGCTCTCTTGCTACTCCCTCATTGCAGCCTAGAATCTGACCAACCTGCCGGTCTGAGAAGCCGTCCTGCTTGGCCTTTAGCAACATCCCCTTGGGGACTGTGCCACTGTGGGAAAAGATAATCGGCAGTGGTAATTGGGCAATTTTGCTAACCATTCTGAATCTTAAAGACTGTCCACAGTTTGATGTATTTTAAACGTGAATCCCTGCAAATGCCAGACATTAGTATGAGAAAAACGTCCATAGAACCATAGAAATAAGAAGGTGAATCCAGTAAGTGGGTCATGACTAGCTCACTTACCCAGCAGCGGAGACCACAGGGAAGCGTCCACCTCAGAGCAATCAATAACAAATTGACAAACAAGGTGCAAAGTTGTGGGAGCATTAGGCTGGCAAGTGCAGCCATTTAAAACCCATTTGAATCAATAAAACTTCCATGTGAGCTGTAAGGTTACACAGATGAATAGCAGTGGGAATAAAGTTGGGAATCGGAAGGTGAATTCTGAATCGTGGTAAGGTGAGTATGTGGTTTGTGTGTGCAGAAAAGTCACAATCAGGAATACAACACAGAGTGACGTCTGAGAAAGGAATAAGACATCCTTTTTATTCCTTTGTCTATTTACATTTTTACTTATTAAGTGACACCATGCCTTGCACAATTTACTTGCACTGATAGTCTGCATATCAATTTTCTATTGATACAATAAATCCTCTTTAATAATAATAATTCCCTTTTAAAATGATTTTGATCAAAGAATTCATATCAGTTGGCATACTACCTATTGTGATGGTAAAACAGTATATAGTCTGTCAATAGCAATGTTTTACACATTAAGACATAAAAATTCTCTTTAGTCCATATCAGGTCTTAAAGATGAGGTAAAGGCAACCTGAGATGATTAGACAAACCATCCATCCATCCATTCGCTTCCGCTCATCCTTTTCAGGGTCGCGGGGGGCGCTGGAGCCTATCCCAGCTGTCATAGGGCGAGAGGCAGGGTACACCCTGGACAGGTCGCCAGTCTGTCGCAGGGCCAACACACAGGGACAGACAACCATTCGCACTCACATCCATTCGCACATTCACACCTAGTGACAATTTGGATTTTCCAATTAACCTATCCCCACAAGCTGCATGTCTTTGGACGGTGGGAGGAAGCCGGAGTACCCGGAGGGAACCCACGCAAACACGGGGAGAACATGCAAACTCCACACAGAAAGACCCCGGCCTGATGTTGGAATTGAACTCAGGACCTTCTTGCTGTGCGGCAACAGTGCTAACCACCGTGCCACCGTGCTGATTAGACAAACACTAAACCAAAATTCAGGGGGGGAGGAATAAGAAATAATAAGTACACCTCGTGCTTCAATAGTTTGTAGAGCCAACTTCAGCAGAATTAACAGTCAGTAATCATTTTCTGTGTGACTGCTAGTCTGTCACATCATTGTGCAGAAACTTTTGCCCACTCGTCTGTGGCGCGGCTGCGTAGTGTTCAAGTTTGGAAGATGTGGTCCGTTCCGTCATTCTCCTCTCACATCATCTTTACCATGTTACTTCAGTTCATAGGGGCTTCTGGGCATTTGTTTATGCACAGCTCTCTTAACGTCCCACAACACCATTTAAGTCAGGTTGAGTGTTGAATCTGGGCCATTATAACACCTCAACCCTTTTCTTTTTCAGCCATTCTATAAATATGCTAGTGTGCTTGGCAAACTTGTTCTCTTGCATGACCAGTTTCATACAAGCTTTAGCTGTCCGATAGATGTCATAATTGACTCTAGAATACTTTGGTATACAAAGGTGCTCGTGGATGTCCAGGTCCTGTGGCTCCAAAACAAACCTTAATCACCTGCCCTCCATCACTACTCTTGACAGCTGGTATGAGTAGTTTATACCAATATTTTATATTATATATAATATATTTATTGTTTTCTCTGCATGTGGTGCTGTGCATTATAGACAAACATCTCCGTTTTGGTTTCATTTCCTAAAAGGACATTGCTCCTTGTCTTGTGGTGTGTTTACATGCAAACTTAAAGAAGAGGCTTTCCCCTGGCAACCCTCCCTAAAAAGCCATACTTGTTCAGGTTTTTTTTTCCTAATTGTACTGTCATGAACTTTAACATTTAGCATGCTAAATGAGGCCCATAGAGTCTTAAGATGCAGCTCTTGGGTATTTTCCAGTTTTTCTGAGGATTGCACAGTCTGACCTTTGAATTTGCTAGTACGTCCACTCCACTGGTTTTTTTGGTTTTTTTTTTTTTTTGCTGAAATAGTTTTCCACTTGTGAATAATCTTTCTCACTGTAAGAAAATGAATGTCAAACAGCCACGTAACCCTTCCCAGATTGATGGGCAGCAAAAGGTGACTCTTTCACATCATTGCTGATGTCTTTCATCCTTGTTAACACACACACACACACACACACACCTGAATGGTCCAGACCTGCAAACTGCTTTCATACAAGTTTGTCCACAGGTTTTATGAACCGTTTTATTTATAGTTTTATAAACTATAAACTTCATAGATTTGGCCACACCTGATGATGACCAATAATCATGTGCAATGGCAAAGTAATACATTTAGTATTATTCAGTATTTTCCTCATAAGTTTCTTTTTGGATTTGTATTTCATCTGAGGTTGCATTTACCCAATTTTAAAACTGTCCGGGAAGAATTAATTCTAATTATGTCCTGACACATAAAACCTTAGAATTTAAAGAGAATTAACTTTTTTACCATGACTCTGTTAGCTTATCACAAGATCTGAGGTAGTGTGACGGATTCTGTTATTAGTACGGAATCAAGGAAAAATGGCCCTTTTAAATTTGTTTTGTTTACATGTTGTATTGAATTTTCTAGCCAGCTAAAAATCTAAAACATGAACTATAATTGCAACATTACTGCAGTAAAATGAAAGAGGAGGTGGTAGGTAAAACCGCTCCAGTGCATGATAAACAATTTATTAAACAACTTTATTAAAACAATACAACATTCCACACATTAAAAAAACATAATATTAAAAAAACACCACGTTGTAAGTGTTGAAAGTATTCTTTTTAGGAGGTATGCAAACTTCCATTTGCTTCCTGTTTTCGGTAACGAGTTAAACTGAACAGATGAATATGCTGCCATAAAGTTGATATTGACTTTATCATCCAACTCCCACAAACAAAGCAACAAGCAAATGTAGCAGTATTTCTAGGTAGAGACAATAAGGGATTCTATTTTCCTGGTAAACCACTGCCTTTTCTCCCTGCTCCTTATCTGAATTATTTATAACCTTATAGCGTAACAATATTGGAAATGTCAAGTGTGTTTTAACTCCCACTGCACGTGGCTTTGCTGAGAAATAACAAACCCAAGAAAGGGGAGCGGCAAGTCAGAATCAAAGGAAAGACATTTGATCCCACAGCTTGGCTGTGTTGTGAGCAATTTTGTCTGGAAAAGCAGTTTAAAGGATGAAGAAAGCCCCTCGCATCCCATGAACCTATGTGAATAGACCATCGCGCACAAATAAAACACTCCACCATATATTTGCCCGGAGCCATTGCGGCTATGTGTGAATAGAAAGTTGCCATGTATTCTGACATATTGCAAAGACACATGAACACACAATATGTTTTCCAACTCACTTTCCCTTGAACTTTTAAATTATTATATTTACATTTGTGTGCATAAATCATCAAATTGCTAGGCACCGTCTGTGGTTTATCTATACCCAGGTATCCACAGCAGCATGACGCAATTTTAATTTATAGAAATGCAAGTACCAATAAAAAAAGGACTCAATACTATATTCATATTGACTTTGGAAAAATAGAACAAATGGTCAAAAGTAAGCTTTCTTTGGAAATGTTAACACCACTGCATAAAAGCATATAATAAGTAATGTAGCAACTTTTGCAGAAGTCTCACCATGTTCTCTGTCTGAGCCCGACTCCTTAGAGGACTGCAGAGTTACATTATGCAGCCAGTGCGTCTTTTTTCACTAAGCCAGCTGACCAAATAAGAGAGCGTACAGTACGTGATGCAGTGTACAAATAAGGATTAAAATATGTTGTATTATATTTTTTCCTTGTGTTTTAATTATAATTACCCTTCAGTCTAGAGGAAAAAAATCTTACGCACACAAAGACTGCTGAGCAGCAGAGCATGAAGCCCACCCGTGCTCAGCACCATACTCCCATCAGTCTGGCAGCAGACTAACATTTTCCGCCCATCCCCATGTCCCCTGCTCCAGAAGAAGTGAAAACTACAACAACACTCCGTGTGTCAGGCTGTAGCAGTGGGTGCCCACCAAACAGCCAGCCATTAATTATTAAACAGTAGAGTCAGAAGAAAGCACCAGGTAACCTGTGGCTGAGCAATGATAATTCACAGAGGCTTGGATTTGAGCTGTCCAGGTAAAAGCTGAAGGGCAGAAGGACAGGAAAGAGAAAGAGGGGGAGAAAGGTAGTTGCGAGGAACCCTGAGAAAGAATGAAAGCGAGACACCGAGACTAAAGAGACTGGGGCTTATCTAATTTGTGGGCACCGTTTTTCATGTTTCTATCCACACCTATAAACAAATAGATGGCACAGCTACTTTTTTTTTAATTTTTATTTTTTTAAATGTACATATCTATTTAAGTAAGTTCAAGTTACTTGAATAAACACTCTCCATGCTTTACCTGTTGTAGTTTGCAAGATGTTGCTCCACTTTTGTTATTCCATGAAGTTTGTGGAGGAACCACTTGTCTATGGCTGTCAGCTGGTGGATCTGATCAACACTCATCATGCCACTGTAGAGGGCCTGAGAAGTAAAAGCAAGAAACAAAGAACGGGATCATCATGATCTTCCATTGTTACGAGTATTACGAAACTCAGACATGTGTTTAATTGGTCAGTGTTTTAAAATTTGATTTTATTCTGTGATAGGCTGCTCATGAGAAAAACCACGCAACCAATAACCCAGTGATCTCTAGTGTATTATAAGTAAATCAAGTGCATGAACAATAAAGAGTATTATTGCAACATTTTATCTAAAAGAAAAATAAGTATTTTATCTGAAAGTGTCTAAAGTGTCAGGCTGATAGTGTGCGAGCTCCTTGTACTGAAGGCTTTTTATTCACAGCAGTGCCCCAGGGCATTTACAGCACGTCGTCCCCCTCTCGCTCTTCCTACCTTCCTGTCTTCCAACTGTCACTATCTAATAAATGCAAAAAGCCACAAAATAAATCTTAAAAATCTGCGCACACATACAAACAGTTTTCAAGGACAACTTGCCAGAAAGTCCAAGGTTATCTGTAACAAACCATCTGGTGCACCAGGTTATCAACCATGAGAAATACCTACAAAGAGCAGACCGATATAGTCATTTCTAAAACAGGCTGGGATGCCTTGCAAAATTTATGTAGGCTGGAAAGTCATCTATACCCTACACGCACTTGAATGTAGTACATCGTAAAGCAAGGATGCCAAAAGTAGAAAAAAAGAAAATGTTTTCAGTTGTTGCATTTGTGCATGCAGACAAAAATACTTAGGAATAGTATAGTGTTACGTTCCCCCCGAAGGGGGTCTAGGCATGCGAGTGAGGGGACCAGTAACAAATGAGTCCAGGACAGAATGAAAGGAAAACAGACAGGTGTTTTTAGTAAATAAAATAGTCTTTATTATAGATCATCTTAACATAAAGAGCCGGCAATGCCGTTTTACCAATAACACTTGGAAAAAGGAAAAAAGGTTGCAACAACAAAGAACACAACCAAACAAAAACTCCACACCACGGGGAGGCACTTCCAGGGGCCCACAAGCTCACCCTGTCACTAGCAGCAGCTAGCCTTATTGCTGCCGAGGCCCACAAGCCCACACTACTCACGTAAAGCAGCTATACTGTTTCCACAACTCCACACTTCAGGCAGGATAACTACACACCAAGAACACCCCACCCTGCTCACAGCTCATCCCCAGCTTATATGACCTCAGAGAGGTGATTACTGACTGGGCCCAGGTGGTAAATGAGTCCAATGAGCAGCAGCTGTGTCGTGGGGAGAGAGAAGAGCAAGAGAGAGACAGAGGGGTGGAGCAAGAGAGGAGGAGGCGGAGAAAAACACCACGCCCACACACGGGCAGTATCAGGAGGCCCAGCTAGGGCCGTAACATATAGTTATATTACATTTGCAGTGAAACACTGAGAACTGCTCACCCAAAAGCTGATGTGTGGTCAAGACGGCGTACGGAGCTGAGGTTCAGAGGCTGTCAGACTGGTGTGTAGACAACAACCTGGACCTCAATACCACCAAGACAAAAGAACTGGTAGTTGACTTTAGAAGGTGGAAGTCTGAGCTGCAGCCTGTCAGCATCAACGGGGAGTGTGTGGAAAGGGTCTCCAGTTTCAAGTTCCTGGGTGTGCACATAGACCCAGATCTCCAATGGAGCTCAAACACCTCTGTGGTTTTGAAGAAAGCCCAACAGCGTCTCCACTTTCTGAGAATCCTCAGAAAAATGGACCTGAAGAAGGAGCTGCTGAGCGTCTTCTACCACTGCTCCATTGAAAGTGTGCTGACATACTACATCTGTGTGGTTCTCCAGATGCACTATGGCACACAGACAGGCAGTCCAGAAGGTCATTAATATGGCCCAAAAAAAAAAAAATCATTAGGCATCCTCTTCCCTTCCCGAAGGACCAGTACAGCACTCGCCGTCTCAAGAGGGCACGCAGCATCCTACAGGACTGTGCATACCTAGGACACTGGGTGTTTAAGCTGCTGCCGTCTGGCAAGAGATTCGGGCTGCTGAGGTCCTGGACAAACAGACTAAAGCGCAGCAAAAAAATTATGGCACAACTTCACCTGCTTCCAAGGTGCATGGAGAGGATGAAAGAATTCACAAAGCAGGAACTCCAGCAACACTTGAGGGAAGATGAACGACTTTAATAATTGACCAACGCGTTTCGGCTTGTGGCCTTCATCAGGGTCATAGTAAAACATTGTAAAAAATTGCTTAAATACAAGACAGGAAACAGAAAAAAATTCAAATTAACCAGTCAAAACTTCATAGATAGGTCAGCTGACCTATAATAGGTAGGTATTGGTTAATTGGCTAAGTTACGCCCAAGTGAATACCGGACTAGATCATTACTGATGAGGAGGAGGAGAGGGGGGAAGGGTAACATAGCCTCCATATGTCTGAAAATAACACATGCATGAAATGCATAAGAAGGAGTGCTATGAATATACACAAAAAAAAAAAAAAGGACAGTCTTTAATGGTAAAGGTACCTTTGAATTTAGAAAACAAGATTACATCATAACATGATGATAACATAACATTATTACTAAGTTAAGTTACTGTGTTGTGTTGCAATGTGTCGTGTCGTGTCATATCTTGCACCTTTACATCTGGCTACAAGTCTCTTACAGTTGATGCAATTTGTTTTTTGCTTTACACACAACAAAGAAAATGGCCCCAAGATGTACAGGTGTAAAACTAAAACCATTCAAACAGTTTGAGCTTCCAACAGTCTGAGATCGTGTGGATAGCAGGCAGTTTAGCTTTGAGTGACAGTAGCTATGCTGACCACCCCGCAGCATTACAGACTCATGTAACAGACTAGAGATCAAATGTGGATCATCAATCCCTGATGCTGTCACCACCTCAATGATCTCATTCAATACTTAAGGAAATTGATCCATCTACACACAAAGCTCACACAGTCAGAGGTCTCGACACTGACACGACCTTATTCAGCTCCCCTCCCTGCCGGTGATGAAAAGCATGTTCATATGCTGGAGCCATAGATGTTTTTTCACCTTGTAAGATCTTTGTGCCTGAAAAATAAAGCTCAACCCTGTGCCTATAAGTGCTGTCTCACCTTCATCTGCTTCTATGAGGAAAGCTACAGACACATAGCAGTATATGTTTGCGTGATTCATCTTTCCTCTCTCTGGAATATATTTGAAGAGCCATACTGTCATAGCTCTGTTTAACTGAATCGAAATTTAAATGAGCCACAGGATTAAGCATTCATAACTAGGCATGCAGGGACTTTTTTTTTTCAGCAACACTACAAAATGTGATTTTAATGAGCAAACTATAGTGAGTGTCATTTATTATTAATGTAATGAAGAATAATTGTACCTTAGCGAGGGAGAAGATGCGGGTGCTGGAGGGCACAGCCAGCTCCTGTTCTAGATCGTGGGTGTCGGACCACGGCTTCTTGAGTGGCAGCCGGGGCACAAAGCCATCTACTGATGGATGACACATCCTTAAGGCCTTCTGCATACTCTCCTCAAACGTACGGCCTATTGCCATCACCTGGATGCAAAGGAAGAAAACACACGATGGAATAATTGGCTTGCCAGAACGCTGAGTAAATGAGTGAGCGGTTAAATGTTTAGCCCCACCTCTCCTACACTCTTCATGGCACTGCCTATTTCACGAGACATGCCGTGAAAGCGGTCGAGGTCCCAGCGAGGAATCTTGGTGACGATGTAGTCTAAACTGGGCTCAAAGCAGGCTGTGGTCTTCTCTGATACAGCATTCTTGATCTCAGGCAGGGGGATTCCCAGAGCCAGCTTAGCAGCCACAAATGCCAAGGGGTAACTGAAACCAGGACC